CTGAGTTCTGGCGTGACGTGGATTGCGTATGCTTTGTTTAGAGCCGTGATGAATCGGTTGACGTCTTGTCCAGGGTGGAAAGTTCTCTCTAGCTTCAATATGTCGCGTATGGTTTGTTGGCGCATCATTAAGCTGTAATCGCCGTTTGTTTGAGCGGTGGGAGGTATTAAAGTAGTTGATTTTAGGGCAGTCAGCATGTCGTTTATGTCGGCTTGAATTTCCTGTATCGTGGCTTCGGAAGGCTGTGTTTGTCCCGTTTTCAAGTTGAATAGTAGCGTTTTCTGTTCCTTGATTAGAGTAAATAGTTCGGCTCGGGTGAAGCTCGTGTAGTCGGCCATATTTCTCTTGCTGTGCGCTTCTGACACCAGTGTTATAGACAAGCGTATGGTTGCAAGAAATACAACAGCAGAAATAGATTCACGTGATTTATTTCAACAGGAACGTGTGGGTTTGGGACAGCTACCTTGTGGTATAGTTCATAAGCCGGCTCCCGGTCTGGGTTGATCTCTCATAGTAGTTCACACTGGTTGGCGTGGCTGACTGCTGCCGACCGCTCAACCTGACCATGACAGGTCTCTTCCCTGGCCTCCTGTTGACTGCTGTTGTACTTCCCCGTGTGACCCCTTTTATGGCGTTTTTTATGGCTTAACAGGCTCGTAAAACGACGCGAGTATAGTTAGGAGGGAAGCATTTTCATTGGTTGAAAAATAGAAACACTTTAAAATATTATTTTATTTTTCGACCAGAACTCGTGCGTCAGGCTTATGCGTAAACGACGATAATGGTCATTTTGTGACGGGGCCTTGTCTCGTTCGCATCCGGCTCTCGCTCTTGAGTATGTTAGTTTATTTGCCTGTAAATCAGCCGAGATATGTCTTATTTTATTTTATAACAGTACCCAGCGTAGCTCCCCACCCTCGACAGCCTCAAAGGAATGACTGTTGTTGGATCTTTCAATTTTCTCAACCCACGCAACAACAGATAGGCCGGTGGGCGATCAATCGCACTCTGGCATCAATTTCCAGACGAATCGGTCCAAGAACATTAAGTGTCGAAATAGCCTGTAGCCAGTTTCGTCGTGGAATAAAATTCCCTAATCCGTTTCGTTCATCAAACAGCGCCGAGCCAGCCAAACAATCCAACATGCGTATCTCCTGTTTGCTACCAAAATCGCAATATTTATTATTGCAAAAATACAACAAATGCGGCACAAGGCCAAAAAGGAAGTGGAGTGAGGCTGATCATCATTAACTATCTTATACCTATAGCTAATCCGATTCACGACATAGTCATTCATTACATATAACTCATTTACCGCAAGAAGTTATCCTTCACCCCATTGTCACAGGGAACGTACAAAACACACCGTGATTTAAACATTTCTTATGTATAAATGTTCATAGAAAAAAATATATATAAATTTAATGGTGGTATGAAATTAGGGGGAGGTATGAATAGCTAAATACAAACTAAAATATAACAAGATATCAAACAGAAATTGACAGATGTTAGTCACCCCACGAAAACAAGAGTGGCCGCTGTATTCTGTCTTCAAACAGAATCAAGAAACTCAGTCACTAAATATAGGTGTGGGAAAATCAAAGACTGACCCAGTCGAAATGAAAAGGGAGGTTGGGAATCTCAATTTGCGTCATAACAAAAAGGAGAAGCCAGGAACAGGCCGAGAACGACACTTACTCCCATTAACTAGTTAAACAAAGAGAGTCTAAATTAACTAGGGGAGGATTTCACAGGATCTTGCCGAAAATCTTTAACTCTGTGTTTAGCCTGTAATAATCTAATTCCAACCCATTATCCTTGCACTTTTTCACCAGCGTGACCATGCCCCTAGTAATCTGATTGGGGATGGACCCCTGCCGGAACCAGTTGTTGAACACCACAGGCAAAATCGGCATAAAGATGTGCGATAGCCACAAGTAAAATTCATAGGGTAAACCATCAAATCCAGCGACTTGCCATTGCCGACCCTCTTCAATGTCATGTAGACTTCGCCCTCCGTGATTTCACCCTCACAGTCACGCTTCAGTCGGCGTAAGCCGAGGAAACTCAGCCAATTTGCTGCGAAACACACAGAGGTCACAGAGACCAGGTTCCTTGGTAAAGCGGCTCTCGAAATGCCACCGAAACTTGTTATCGGTCGACCTCCGGGGTCTTAACCTCATGAATGTATCAATCAGAATCTCGATGGATCTCTTCTTTGCGCAATTGTGCGCCCATGTTCATGGTTTCGTTAGATATCTTTAACCTATGCCTAACTACCTGATCCTGGTAGCGCTCGCATCGACAAGGTCCACCCTCGCATCCAGGGTATACATTTAACCAGCAAGGAAACACCTCTAGCCAGCTGGTCCCCGTATGCTGAATAGACAACATAGTCGCTAGACAGCACACGAACATCAACCTCGTAAACAATGTTTCCTGGATGACAGCTTCATCTACGCCGAAGGAGATCATGAAGCAGGCGGGCAGCCTTACTCCGATTCCTCACACCCCTCGCATTCAAACTCGCTATCTTGAGAAACATTTTTTTTTAAATTGGTTCCCCTACTCCCAGACTGGGTGGAAATCTGCGGATGAAAGTACCCAGACGGATTTTGTCCTAGGCTCCCTGTCCTCATCTCTGTTGGCATGCGATCATCTAGGGCAATCCCGCCGACGTCCGTTAGATACGTGAGTTTTAGGACTCTATATGATGGAGGATGGAGAATAACTGGGACCCAGCACAAAACTTTGTAAATTTTTAAAATCCGGTGTAACAATTTCCATAATTTGGATCTCAGGAAAGGCGTCCCTTACCTCATAAAAGTGATCCCATACTTTCAAGTCGCTCCCGTGGCCAGTTCCGATGGTCTTCTACCGACCGCCCGTCCACAGAAGAAGTTTTAAAGAAGGGGTCTTAATAACACTTTCTTTTGGGGCGAGATGTTACGTTCTAGTGCTGGCCTGTCTACCTGACAGGACTTTTCTCTCCTGGGATACTGTTTTTTCATTATGGGAGGTGTTATGGTGCGGGGTGTTGGGAGGCATGGTGTTGATATCAGATGTATTGAGTGTGTTGGGAAGGTGGGACAGTGGAGCTTAAAAGGGGAAGAAGGGAGGCTCCTTAGTATGCCCTTAGAGGAAAGTTCTTTTTTTAGCTGGGAAAGCAGGGATAGATTGGGACTTGGATCTATTCGGGGCCTTCTCAGGCTTACTTCGTCCAGCTCGTTTTTTTTTTGTTTTTTTTGGCGCATTTTAGTTTCTTTATCTTTTTTTCGTCTTTCACTTTTTTCAAGGAAGAGGACCAGGGTAGTAGCGAGGGTTTTCTCGGCCATTGATTTTGCGAACGTCCTCAGTAGGGAGCAAGGTGTCCCACATGACATTACTTGTGCGAGCCAAAGCTTTTGCTCTAACACTGAGGCTTTTTAGGGTCTCCGCCCTAATTTCCCTGTTGACACCTATTAGCATATGCGTTTTTACATCCGTCGTAAAGAGGGATATTGTTTGAGGGCTCACCACTTCAAGAAGCAAAGTTATCGATAACAGTTCATTACCAGAAATAAAATCCTCGAATTGCTCCTTTAGGCTCGAATAATAGCTTGACACTTTTTGCGGGGTGGGATATTAATAGGTTGGGTTCGCCATAATATTGGCGTTCCTACGACAATGCTTTCAAACAAAACAAATCAACGAGAAGATTTCACAAAATACAAAGAAAAAAAGTGAACACCAAGATAATTACGGCTGCAAACAAAATGTCACACTTGCTTTTTTTAATAATAGCACTTGGAATAATTGCCGTGAAATATTCGCTACAAAAAATTGCACTACTATGCCTACAAGCACATTTTGTATCTTGGGTGATCAAATTTGTATAGGTGCTAAAAAAGTTCGGGATCTGTCGTTTCTCAAATATACGACTCGTAAAGCCGCCATTTTCTTTTGGGATAATTTACACGCAAGACGTTTCGAACCCGATGTCTACGAGGAGGTAAACCATTTTCTGTCGTGTTACAAATTTCATGGCAATTGTTCCTCTTTGGTACGTAAACTCTATGACTACTAGATTGGCGCCATGATCATTTTTCAATCGAAATGGCTATGTGGACGTAATTTCTATGCTAACAGCTCTTTTTTTTTTTGGGGGGCTTTCTTCCAGCTTCTTGTTTTCTGTAAGGTTGATCTTCAACAATTTAAATGCTATATTAATCGTTATTTTCTGTCTTAATTTCTTTTATTTTATATGCTTTTTCTTATATCATTTCACATTCAGTAACCTTCTGCGTCTTATTGGTTTTGTTGTCTTGCTTGGTGTGAGCTGATTAAAAAGATATATATAAACACAAGTAGGTGCTGATCTCCACACGTATATACCGGTACCCTGACAACTTTTTAAAAAGAAGGAATATTTTTAATTATAAGTTTTTAAAGTTTTTCTCAAATGTTAAAATTAACATCTTGTGTCCAGATGAATGGGTATTTTTTAATTTAAATATTCAGCCAGTAAATTACGTGTTTAAATGCCCAAGTGTTAAAATTCAGTATTTTTCGTGGACATCCAAAATTGATACATTCCTCGATTAATGCACATTCGATTAATGTGCTAAAATTTTGATATACCAAAATTCGCTTATGGCATACATAATACTCGATTAGTGCGGTAAAACATTCTTTAACCATAGTAATTGAAAATTGATTTTTTATAGTTATTAATAAACACATAAGCTGCACTAATCGATGGATTCCTATATTCCCAGTTCCTAGACAACATTGAACAGCATTTAAAGTTGAAATGAAACATGCCAAAATAATAAAATCTGAGTGAACGTTATTATTTAACATCTTTCGTTGCCTGAACATTGGAAGTTAATCTTTTTATTACCGCGTCAGCTTTTTGACATTACCCTTTAAATCATGTGTTTCAATACAATTTCATTTTTTTCATTAATATTAACTAGAAGTGGTTCATTGTTGAAATTCTATTTTGTTTTTTGTTACAGTTATTGATTGTGGCATTCCAGCTTTGAAGCCATCTATTATCATGCCTTCCAATTTGACCACATCTCAAAAAACAAAATTCCTCTTTGTTTGCAAAACTGGTTATGTAAGAAAAGGAGTTAGTCCAAAGAATGACACATTTGTCCGTTGTAATGCCGATGGAATATGGGAATTTGGTAATCTCGTATGTGAAGGTTCGTTTTATTTTTTTAATTTTCAACTTTTTTTGCTCATAAATACTTTTTTTATGTAATAGAAGAAACATACGCATGTTAGAAATTACATACGCCTACGACCTGACAAAGTTATAAACGATTTTATCATTTACATTGTGGCTTTTTTTAACATATAATAAAATCGTCTTCATAATTTTTGTTGATAAGTATAAAATTTTACAAAGCTGGATCATGACAGATGTTGGTTAGTCAAGAGTAAACATCAGGATTCAAACCACTGTCAGCTTCACAGCTTGATTGTTTCAATTAATAATCTAAAGTAAAAGATACTTTCTTAAAACAAGATATCAACTGTAGGTACGGTAGTACTTGATGAAAGTAATAATGGAAAAGAAAAATTGTACATTATTATTTCAGAACGAAAATGTTCAGATCCTGGAACTCCTCCAGAAGGATTACAACTCCCTTCTAGTTATAGACTTGGAGATACTGTAAGTTTCAACTGCTCAAAACCAGGATTCATGCCGATGCCTGTTTCTACGTTAACGTGTATTAAGAGTGGAGAGGAATTGACATGGGATGGCGAAGTTCCTTCTTGTAAAGGTGATGCTATTTTTTTTCAGTTTTATTTACTATCACTTATAACAAGTGAATTTCATATGTTCACTTTTCTTTTTCTTTTTTTTTTTTTTGTAAAGTGAACATATGAATTTCACTTGAAATGGTTAAGAATAAAAACATTCGACTATGTTTAAAAACAGCTTTAATGTATATTAAAATGGCATTTTTCTTTTTTAAATTATATAATTTTAAATAGGATATAGTAAGGAAAATGTGAAAAAATGATCATAAATTCGGCCAAGCAATAATTATTTAGCATGATGAATTTAAATCTGAAATTTGAATTGTTTTATTCGCCACGGAATTAAGTAGACTGAAACGAAAAAAAATTGCATGAGGCCACATCATGCTTTAGCTTTAGCCATCTTCTGGGCGGATTGTATTTTCATAGACAATGAACAGTGATAATTATTTTGGTCTTTTTCTCGTTAAAATTAAAATAATTTCTTGTGACAGTTATAATTAAGAGAAATACGAATAAAGAGAAAAATTACCTGCCCACTCAACATTTTTTGTCCAATATTCGTGATATTCGTACCAATTTCTGTAGTATAGAATCTTTTCTCTTGAAACTTTCTTCCCATATCTTAGCACTTTACGACACTAAATTAAACTTTTCTATCGCTAACAATGAATTGTCTGTCCCAGAATATCTTCCTCTTTGTCGAAAACATTCTCGGATAAATATTCATTGCCTTGCTGTTTATATCTGGGAAAATTTTCCAATAGCAAGAGAATTGTCTCATGAGCCCTCGGATAATACTTTCATGTACTTTCGATTTACTTTATTGCATTCTGTTAGCTATTTATTTTTCCTTTATTGCTCTTCTTCTTAGGATTAAGTTATTAGACAAAATATGTAGCAGCATAGAAATGGCTCTCTACAGATTCATCTGGGATCATTGTGTTCGGTGATTTTAATACTCATGCCAAGTGGCTTTAATCATTCTAATGTTACTGATATTGCCGGTATTTACTTTCAATTTCTCCGTTAGGCAGTCTAATCAAATAATCAAATTTCGTTATTCGTTTCCCTAATAAATCTGATCAACCTGTTTCTTTACTTGATTTGTCCCTTACCTCCTTTCTATGCTCTTGTCAAACATCGCAAATCTGTTCTCATGGCAGTTCGGATAACCCTGGAAATATCAACAGATACTAATCTGTTGATATTTCCTTTGACTTGTCTAGCTTACTGATTGGGATTCATTTCGTAACATTCTTTGAGATGTCCCTTGGACTGATATGTTTATCTTTCCTAGTGAGAATTGTGCCACTGAACTTCCTCGTTGGAAGCCAGTATAGATGTGTAGGGAGACCACAATTGTTTTCCCTTGGGTTGAGCTCATGGGAGTTTTGGCCCCTTTTAGAGAGCAGAACTCTTCTGTCCTTTTTTGTCTGCTTCCATTTTTTGGAGGAACGGCCTCTTTACCTCCCTGACCACCAGGGTGTCCACACACGTGGAAACTAGTCAACATGTGCACGGCCTAGCGAAAGAAAAAAGTAATTTCCATTCCCTTATCTGCGGACTATCAAAGGCCATATAGATGGTATGTTATTTTTTTCTCGTTCTGTAAACCTCCTCGTTCTTTTGGGGCAATATGGACAATCATTTGTTTTGGGACATATGTAAATCTTTTTAATATATGTACGTAAGTTGTTTGCCTTATTAAATGTTTTGTTTGTTACGCCCGCGTATTTCGTCTTTCTATATTCGTATTCAGTGTTAGTGTATCAATGGCTACACTAATGCTAATATTAGTATCGGTGTGCTACTGGAAGGCTAAAACACGTTATTCTTCCTAACACAAAATAGTCGGTAAACTCTGTGTGGCAGATACCACCATACTAATATATGCTTTTGAGTCTTTTCGAAAATTCCAGGTGAAACCAAAATCTTCTCCTTGATTCACGCGTGCATGTTCAGTGGCTATTATCCACATGGATCACCTTTTTTTGTTCAGTTGTACCAACGCGCGATAGTTCTAATCACAACGGGCAAATCTCGTAATAATTGTAAACGTGTGCTCAAATAAATTAAGTCTTTGTTTGCTGATAGACTTGGGTGCTGTATATCCTCTAACAAATTTGGTTCTCCCCTAGCAGAGGCCCTGTAATAAGTGTTTTAAATAATTCTTCTATCCCGCCTCTCTTCACTCAGTTGGTGTTATCATCTTCTACTGATAAAACAGAATATTGTGGTTTGCTTGTAAATTCTTTTCCAGATGTACTCTTGAATCATCTGGAGTATCCTTGCCTGACTTTCCAAATAGAACTGAATCCCTACTGTGTGATATGCATATAACACCGTCGATGCTTTCTTCTATCATCTCTGAAATGGATCCCCACAAAGCATGTGAATTTGATGGTATCTTTGCAATAACCCTTAAGAAATGTGCTCCTGAAATGACACCTGTTTTCTCTAAACTTTACAACAAAAAGCTTGCGGCTTCTTGCTTTCCTGTTTGTTAGAAAACATTTTCTGTGGTTATAATCTTTTAAAACTCAAGCGAACCGTTTGATTATTTTAGCTATAGGCCTATTAGCCTTCTCCCTCTTTTTGGCAAAGTACTAAAATCTCTAATCAACTCCGTATTGGTTAAGCATCTCACCCGCAGGGTCTTCTTTTAGATAAGCAATATGGCTTTCGCTTCTCTGGGTCAACTGTTGATGTATTAATAGTTATGGTTGAAAGAGTCTATCAAGCTTTAGATAAGAATGGTGAAGCTCGAGCTGTTACTTGGGATATCTCGAAAGCTTTTAACAGGGTTTTGCATGCTGGTCTTCTTAACAAGTTAAAAGGTTATAATATTTCTGGATTAATTTTTGATTGGATTCAATCTTTCTTATAAAATAGCGAAATGAAAGCTGTCTTGAACGATCTCTCTTCGAGGTCATTTTGCATTACTGCAGGTGTCTTCCAGGACTCTATCCTTGGACTTAGGTTGTTCCTAATTTTCATCAACGAACTTCCGGAAATCATCAGCTCTCAACTCGGCATTTATGCTGATGGGACAACTAATTACTACTGTACTAACGGAAAGTTTGATCAGTTCGATAAAGTCTAATTAGCAGCTGATCTAAAAATGACATACAATTTGTCAACTGGGGCAAAAATTATTTTTTAATTTTAAAAACTTTAAAAAAATGGCTCTCTTTTTATTGTCTTAGAGAACCTTTTTTGCCTTCCACCAGCATGGCTGATGCTAATGAAGTGAAAAGATTACATTGAATCAATTGCTCTGGCTTGCTGCTTGAAATGTTCGTTCATTGTGTCGTGCGAGACAATTTTTATCACCAGAATCCACCTTGCACATTTATAAGTCTACCATTTTTCCATGCATTGAATTTTACTGTCATATCTGATCTGGTGCTTCTGTTATGTATTTCGATATTCTTGATAAAATACAAAGAAGAATCAGCATTTTTATCGGACCTGACTTCACATCTCATCTTTTGTCTCTTTACTACTGCCGTAACGTAGTTATCTTGTGGCTTTTCTATAAATATTTTCATGGCAATTATTCTGATGAGCTTTCTTTTTTGGTACCTTGACTTTACAAATTTAAATGCTGTACTGGATTGGCAGCTAGATTTGTCGAAATTGCTAGATCTGACTATAAGTTCCATGCTAACAATTTCTTCTTACGCACTTCTCGCTTGGAAAAATCTCCCCGGCTTCTTGCTTTACAATCAACTTTGATCTTTAGTAATTTAAATGCAATGTCAGTCGTTTATCGTCTGTCTTCATAATTACTTTTCTTTTATTGTTCTCTCTCCTTAATGTTTTTCTCACATTCCTCTACACTCACTAAAATGTTTTATATTCTTACTTGGTATAATAAAAAAATTAAATGTTTTCATTATTGTGTTGCCGACTTATTGGTATACTTACATAAGCCGGAGTGATACTTTAAAAAATTATTCCATCCGTTTCATTATTGTTTAAATTTTTTTCGTTGTTAATTTTCATCCAGAAAATTAATGTCAATTTTCAGATATATTTTGTAAATTGGCAATTATTTTTGGTCAATTTGTCCATACCATATCTTTAATATTCGTAATCAGATATTAAACGTCTACACTTCAGTTTTTTAAGCGTAATTTTGATAATTGTATAAACATAGGTGTCCTTCCAAGTCTCTTTGCTTTGTTTTATTCTTCTTCCTGCTAGGTGGTCGAAAATTTAGTAAATATATATTTGGAGAGTTCTATTTTTCCTCTCTTATTGCTGAACTGTATTGTTTTCATGAAAATACAAAAAAAATCATTTCTTAATGTTCCTTATATACATTTTGTAATGTAATTTCAGATGTAGCGAGCCCAGTTTTTGAGAATTGCCCAACGTTGCCCATTGAAGTAGAGATTTACGACACAGTTAAAGTTCCAGAACTGAAGGCTTTTGACAATTCCGGTCTTATTCGCGCTATTTACTCTAAAAACTTTGTACCAGACCAGATAATATACAGAAACATTAATGCCACATTTGTTGCAGAAGACTTTTCTGGAAATAAGGAAACATGTACAATTGAAATTAAAACCAGAGGTAAAAAATTGATTTTCGCAGTTATTTATTTTCCTTTGATTAAAGGTCTCAATCTCGACTCATCTTTTGATTCAGAATCGTAAAAACATTATGCAGTTATATTTTTTAGGTTATGGAAGAATTAGAAATTTTAAAGTTTTGAATTCACCTTTTGGCATACGATGACGTCTTGTTCGACTGGATGGTAACTTGGTGATACAAGCCCAAATATTCTCAAGAGTGTTAGGCGGAGATGACACAATAATTGAATAAAAACAATTTAACTTGCAGATAATTTTAATTTGTGAACGACTGAAGTAATGCTCTATATAATGAAATAATTGGTTTCTACTTGGAGTTTATAAAATGTGAGATGATTTAGTTTCATTTATTAAATTTAAAAAGAGAGAAAACATTTTGGGTTTGTTAGTTCGTTTAATAAATACATTATTTTATTTTTGGAAAGTACAGGTGATTTTATAGACTAAAATAACTTTCAACGATTATTAATTAAGAAATGACAAAAATATTCAAAATAAGTCCAAGTCTACAAAGTGCTTTTCAGAAACTTAATATGAACTTAAAAACGTGTTAACTAAGCTTAACTTAGTCTGATACATGTTTAAAATTGTGGAGATCAAACTTTAAACAGTAGTGATAGTATTGTTATACTAGTCATCTAACTCAAGGCACCAAATCTGTTTTATGTAATGTGTGTGCATGCGTGTGTATCAAGCATAGAATTGCCTATAAGTAAAGAAGCCCACTTTGAAAGCAAGCATAATTTACAAGAGAATTCTGAAAAATAATTGTTTTTTTGTTTTTTACTGTTTATTGCAGAATTTCTTCCAGTGAACATTTCGTGTCCTTATTACATCGAAAAATATGTGTCAACGTTTGGAGAAAGCATTGAGTTAACTTCTCTAGTTACAGCTGAAAACAGTGTGAGAACGGTCGTGACTCCAGAAAAAATTGCCCCAATGCTTCATGACATTAACCGAAATTTTCATATTTTTGCCGAAGCGTCTGGGAAAACTGGTGCTTCAGTCAACTGCACTTTCTACGTGCACGTTCGGCGTATGTACTTTTCTTTTATTTGATCCACATGATTTCGCATAGAATCCACCCTATGACTTTGTTTTACTCATTTACTGCAGATTTAAAAAGCTGAATACTCTGAGTGTCGAGAAGTTTGGACATCGACATGGTGACGCAAGTATTTCCAGTATTTGGATTAATTTGCAATTATTTAAAAACTTAATCTGGTGAAAACCGAGTAAGAATGGATTATAAAACGCTTCTGAAAATTCAAAACATTGGTATTTTAGCTCAAATTTTCAAAGGGCAACATTCTCGAGTTTTATAGTTTTTTAATTTACAAAATATTTGGTTGATCCAGTGAATATGTGAGTGAGTGTTTAATTAGCATAGCTAAGGTATATAAACTATATAAGTGCCCAAGGGGAGGGGTAGAATAAGATATGCGAGATCAAAGACTACAGCTGGACTGAGAAAAGACGAAGGAAACCACATTTCATAAAAGTTGGCTCTCTGTTAACGCTTACGCAGCATATTAGTTGTCATTTTCAGCAAATAATTAATCCTCACATAGTTAATAATAAACCATAAATCTCTATTTCCTTCCCATAGAGCAGAGTATAATTTACTTTTGATTTTCTTTGTAAACATTGCTACAATAAATCTAAATGTCTTTTCTAATGTTTTTTTTACTTATGTTTGCTTAAATAACAAATATGATCTTTTGACATAAAAAAACATTTAAAATACAGAATACCTAACACTTATTTCCTCAATTTATTGCCCGAATAGCAATTTATTGTACTAAATAAAACTGTTCATATATCGTTCGACTATATTGTATTTTAACGCATGAATCAAGGTGATAATCTTATTTATAGCCTAAGGTTTTAACAGACCATATTTTTCCGTTTCCGTTTACATAGCAGGGTAAAAAATGGTTTCCTTCTATATGTTTACATTAGGTAGATACCTATACATATGTTGATATTAGATTAGCTAAAAAAGAGCCCACACGATGAGAAAATGCCGTAAACATTATAGATACAAAGTTTTATCGTTAAAACCTTTATTATTTGTGACATTTCATTAAATTCTATTTTGTAGCGCTTTATTAGTTATAAGGACAAGTCCTCGGAGGATTTAAAATAAATCATGAAATTTATTTTGGTCAAGCAGGACCCACCAGTAACAGGAACTGAATTGTAAAATGAAAAATGCAATAAAATTAAGACATTATTTAATTAGAAAAGATTTTAATTGCTTTTTATGTATATAATATATTATGGACACTATTGTCTCAAGAAAAAATTTCAATAAACATTTAAATTTGAAAAGAACCGTTTTCATTATTTTTAATTTTAATTATAATTTATTTTTTAAGTTTTAAATCTTCTAAAATTCTGTATTAATTTGTAGCGGCTAGGCTAAGTAAAAGCTATATTTACTAATCATAAATGGAAAAGCTCACTACAATTCAACGAACCCAATAATTAAAAAAAAAATTGAATTTATTTTATGTATCTATAAACATGTCGATTTTGTAAATACGGATGTCCAAAAGCAACATTATCAGAAAATAAAAGCGGTAACTATAGTAAAGTTAAAATTTATTGGTGATTTTCTAACATTTTTTCAACAACGTACATAAAATTCAATAAAATATTAGATTGCTTAGAATATTTTCTTAATTTTTTAAGATGACTGTCCAGGCGTTCAAGTAACTTTTACAGTTAGAAAAATTCCTAAACTAGCGAGAAAGTTGTCAAAAACTCATAGAAAAACTCGCTTTAATGTTAAAAAAGCTTTTCTACGATATTTTAAACTAAAAATAATATTTGTTTAAAATCAGATTAATTAAACTTTAAATCAGCAAATCTTACTCAAATGAAGTTTCAGAAAAGTATATTTTATTTTTCAAAGATTTTTTAATAAAGAGAATTATGTTGACTTGACCGATTTGTCAATATGGATGACCTACATTTTAGTGTTAACTGGGGTAATGAATATTTTGTTTTTCGTTGACATGAAATGGAAAGATTATATTGAATCAATTGCTTTGGACTGTTGCAAGGAAGGTTGGTTCATTGTGTCATGCTAGACAGTTTTTCTCCCCAGAAGCTATCTTACATGTTTACATGTCTATCATTAGTCCATGCTTTGAATATTACTGCTACATATGGTCTAGTGCTCCTGTTATACATTTAGAGATTCTTGATGAAATCCAAAAACTTATCTGCAATGTTATTGGTCTTGACCTGGTATCTCGACTTCAGTCACTATCCTACCGCCATAATATAGCTTCCCTGGGTATTTTCTATCAATAATTTCATAGTAATTGTTCTGATGAATTCTTTTCCATGATACCTAGACTCTATTAATTTAAGCGCTTTACTAGATTGGCCGCAAGATCTTATGTTAAAATCGAAATAGCGGCTAGATGTAACCGGAAATTCTATGTTAACACTTTCTTTTCTCACACTTCTCGCTTGTAGATCTCTCTTCCAGATTCTTGCTCTCCAGTCAACTTTAATGTTCAAAAATTTAAACGCAATTTCAATCGTTACCTTCTGTCTTCTTAAATATTGTTCTTTCATTGTTCTCGCTCCATAATAATCTTTTTCTTATGGTCTCTAACACTCATTAACTCCCTTTTAAAAACACATTTTAAAACTTTAGTTATCACTATCTTTGAAGTACTTAATTATGATATATAAATAAATACTATCTTAAGAAAGAAACGCTTTGCAGACAGACAGGAAACCAATAATTAAAAAAAATTGTAAATTACTTCGGATTTCTCTCAAAATATTTTCGCATTAATGGTTTCGTTTTAGTTTACAAAATATGAACAAACCCCAACATATATTGAATTATTTTTCTGGTTCAGGGGAAGGTGTTACCATTTGGCAATAAATGGTGGAATCTCTAAATTTATTTTTGATTGAAAGTTGATACTATAAATCTCACTCTATAGAACACCGTTCGTTCTACTTTTTTGACCCTTCGAACTATCGCCCCATTACTCACATATTTTTGGTAATGTACTTGACGGTCTAATCAATGCTGAAGTGGCAAACCGTCTTACTTCATACGCCCTCCTGTCGGGTAAACAATTATGGCTTCTGTTTAGGTCTACCGCTGATGTGTTGACATCAATCAAATTTTCAGCTTTAGATAAGAACGGTGCAGCTCAAGTTGTGATCCTAGATATATGAAAGACGGTCATTTGGGATTTGGCATGTTTACCTTCTCCACAAGCTCAACGGCGACGGTATCACTGGACGAATATTTAACTTAATTCAATTGTTCCTAACAAATCGTGTAATGAAGTTCGCTTCTAGTTTATTTAATATTAATACTGGAGTTCTCCCAGGGCTCTATCCTCGAACCTACGCTGTTTCTTATCTTCGTCAATAACTTTCCCGATATCATCAGTTTCCAACTAGGCATTTATGCACTAAATAATAAATATCTTAGTAAAAATTCCAACAGATCCGACAAAGTAAAAGTAGCAACTGCTCCCGAAAGGAACTCCAATCAGCGGTTAACTGAGACAAGGAATACCTTGTAAATATTAACACCCACAAAACAAATCTGCTTTCATTTAATGACCACAGAGAACTTCTTTCTGTCTGCCATCAGCATAACTGATGCTAAACTCCAGATGAGCAATATTTTGCAGCTTATTGGACTCACGTTTACCACTGGCATGAAATGGGGTGTTTATATGGAATCAATTTTTAGGTCTACTGTTAGGAAATTTGTTCACTGTGTCGTGCCAGACAATTTTTACTCGTCAGAATCCCTCTTCTACCATTCATCCGCGCAGGGAATACTGCTGCCATATCTGGTCTAGTGCTCGATATATATCTCAAGATTCTAGACAAAATCCCAAGAAGGGTCTGTAATATAATCAATCCTGACCTGACATCTCAACTTCGGCGACTTTCCCCCTCTGTGTTTTCTATAAATATTTTCATGGCAATTGTTTTGATAAGATGTTTTCCTTAATGCATCGACTGCATGAATTTACAATTTGAAATTGGCAAGTAGGTCTCACTGTTTTACTGTTGAACTAATTAGATGCAACTATATATTGTAATATATGAACTAATTAGATGCAACTATATTGTAATATATGAACTAATTAGATGCAACTATATTGTAATATATGAACTAATTAGATGCAACTATATATTGTAATAATTTATTTTCTTGTCTGTGGAACTCACTTCCGATTTCTTGCTTCATGCCGCCTGCAGTCTTCAAAAATGTAAATGTAACGTGAATCGTCATTTTTTTGTCTTCCTTTGTATTTTTCCTCACTTCTCAAAGTCTTTTCATACTCATTCACTCCCTGTAACACCCACGTCCTAGTGGCATTATCGCCTTGCTTGTGGTGAAATGATTAAAAAATATATATCCTAATCTGTAAACGAAGTTAATTCCAAGAGGAACTTACTAATTTTAAGACATTAAAATCGTATTTAACAAAATACAGTTTTTCTCAGGAATTCATGTCTAGACCCAGTTAACACAAATAAATATATCAAAAAGTAAAATTTATCACAAATGATTTGATCATTTGCTAAAAAAAAGCAATATATTCGCTATTATGTGACTTCTGTTTCTTCATAAGAAGACAAGGAATTATTTTTTCTGATTTACTCAATCCAAGACACGCAGTGATCTTTTGTGGACCGAATTTATGGCCAGTAGTTTGTAAATACAGCTCGCTAATTACTGTATTATGTCAGGCGCTTCACTAAGGCTTACTTTTTCTCTCTCTTCAGCAAGTCAATGTATGGCTTCGACATTTAGATCACCACTAAATGGAATTCACACGTGTACAGAAATGAATGCTGATAGGGAACTAATATGCAATATCGAGTGCAACCAGGGTTTCTTCCTACCCGATGGACTAAGCAGGGCAAGTGTGGTCTGCAGTGGGCAAAATGAATGGTCCAGACCATCAATGGATTGTACGCGTAAGTAACATTAAATTGGTCTTTACCCGCTGCCAACATGTAAATATTTTCTGCTCTTCTCCTGTATTACT